CTGCTCAATTTGACTCACATCTGGATCATTTCCGGTAATATTTCTCCACACTTGATGAACTCTTGACACATAGGCTCTCTGATTTTCTTGTTGTCCTAGTGGGTCAATCAGAATGTTGTCAGGATGCACATTTGTTGGAAACGTATCTTTCAGTGCTCTCCACAGCCGATTTCTGCTTGCAGCTAACAATTCAGGATAATTCACCGCAGTCCCCACATATCGATGAAGTCCAGCTCTCTGAAACATTTCTTCCATACCTGGAATCCCAAGGAGATTAGCCAAAAGTCTCTTAATGTCTCCTATGGCAGACTGTGTTCCCACCGTAATTTCTTCCAACTTGGAAATCCAAGGATATGCTCCATCTTGAAGAGTAGGCAGCTTCTCAAGTATATCTGACATATCGGTATTCTGCAAAGGCTTATACTCCAGGTTCTGTCCTCGAATTATCACTGGCATCATCTCCTTACTTGTGCTCCCTTGTCTTGGCCTCAATGTATACTTCTCCAATTCTTGGGATCCTTTTTTCAGCCATTTTTTCTTCTGTATCTTCAGCTTCTTGAGTTGTTCTTCCAGTTCTCTTACTTCTTCTAAATTATTGGCCTTATCCAGGCATGATATGCATCGATCTATATCTCTTTCTATGTCTTCTGTGCTAGTCATTGTAGGATAAAATCCTTTTGAATATGAAGCACCTTTAATCTCCAAATCTTCATCGCTGTCTCCATCTTCACTTTCATCAGAGATCGAATCTCTTGTATCCTTCTTCTTCCAACTTCCATCACCCCTTCTTTCCGCTCATGATCTCTTCTGAATCACTCTGATCATCATCATCATCATCTTCAAATTCCATCCTCCTGAACCTCACTCCACCCTTAGTTTCCAGACATCTCGTTTTCTTCTTACTTTTGGAGTTTGGATTCATCTTTATGGTCGTTTCTGCTTGTCCTCTCTCTATTATTCGTTCATCTTCATCTCTGATGCAATAATCACCCTCCTGAATGATCACTGGAAGCTGAGGATAGACGTCCTTAAACTCTACTTCTTCCTCGTAAGGTGGGGGTCTTTTTGCTGAATCCGTATGTGAGAAAGGTGTATTGACTTCTTCCATTAGTTTTTCTGTTACCTTCACCTCTTTTGCCATTTTCTCTATACCTCTGTCTCTTTTATCTTTTGTATCTTTTATCAGTTTTTGTCCTTTATTTTCAAACAGCTTAAGAACACCCAGCTCTCTTTGTCTCTTTGCTTTACGTTGTTCCCCTTTTTTCCCTTCTTTTGATCTGCCTTATAAGTCGACACAAGCACTTTCATTATGTTGATGACGTCTGGGTTAAGAGTCCCTTCCACCGGCCATGGTTGTTCAATGTCAGGACAACATTTATTCCATTTTCCAGATAACCTTGCAATACCATTAACTAGAGGATTACTATTTTGTACTACATCAACAGGAGTAATTACTTTCATAGTTTTGATGTCCCTTTTCCCCATTGTAACCACTCTTTTATATTCCTTTATTGTGAATTATTTTATTATTATTATTATTTTAAATAATACATTTGTAAACCCAAAAAACGTTTAGCTATGTTGTTTATCAATCCCTCCTATTTAATAATAAAATTATTATTAATTATTTTTATTTATTTTTATTATATTTTATTTTACCAAATTATTGATTAGTGGCAATCTAACCACATCCGGTCAGGAAAAGTAAAGGAAACTAGTCAACTTCAGAGCAATCCAAAAAAGAAAGACCTGTAATACAGCAACACTACAGCACTCACAAACCAATTGCTTAATAATCACCCAATTACCTTAATTTTACATAATAATGTCAGTGCTGGATTTCCAACACAACTCTAATCAAACCAACCCATGCACAAACAACTCCAATGTGCAATTCTTAATTACATCAATTGATCAGTCTGTTATCAAAAAAGCAACAGTCACTTATCAAACAGAATACTTTATCCGTGTGTATTCAAAATCTCCACCTTTTCACATCCCTGCAGCACTAAGTCTGCGTGTCACAGCAGCTCAGTGCAGGCAGGTTAGTGGCATATTTGCTCTACGTAACTCTAAACTCATAAAATCCCACGCATGCGCAGCTCATTCACCAGTGCGATTTCAAAGCGAGAGGAGCTCTCCCAAGCAGCTCTCTCCAAGCTAAACAACAGAAAGCAGACAGACCAGCTGTCCCTCCGTTATTTCCAACACAGACAAACAGTAACACTTAACAAAACTCACAAACCAACACAGAACATAGAACACAAATCCTACTTCAAAGTTTCTTATCTTCACTTATTGTAATCTGCAGATTTATAGTTATTTTCTTATCCATTACAAATAATCGTCCTCCCAGGGGCTCATAGTTTTTTAACAATTATTAAACGTTCTCTTCTCTTCTATAGAGACTCATATAAGGTTTTAACCTTACCTAACATATTTCCTTACAAAAAACTAAAACCCCTGTTGTCATAGCCTTAGTCGACACACAGCAGAGACCTCCCCATTCACACACACGCATAGGCTGTCTGCCTCTCACACACACACAATTCAAGAGGAATGCATCCGTTCATACAATACACTAAGCATGCTACCGTCGCTCCTTATTTCTCATTGTTCCTTCCTAAATTTCTGCTACCTCGAGTTGCAGATATTCAATGAGAGGTTACTTCGAACACATACCTCGTCAACTATATGTCGAGAGGTAACGTACAATTAAATGTATCTTCCACAAACTCCAGTTCCCAGAACTGACCTTAAAAATCAACCTAGTGAGTTTTCAGGATTTTCGGCTCATCCTAATGATCGCCTCGTTTGAGGGCTTCCTTAAATCAGCGACGTCCTAATAGTATACTTTTTCCTTATTTCCTGGCCTTATTCCTTCATGCTATTCCTGGACACTCCTTTTAATTTTATTCAAGCCAAATATCCGTGTGCCCAGTGTTAACAATTCCTATAGACACTCCCCCCTGTTTGCGTTGTTCCCAACGCAAACAAATGTAGAAATTTAGAACGGATTCTCATCACAGAGCAAATAAGAGCAAAGCGCACATGCAAGTCCTAAAATGGTACATCTCCTCAGCGCACACACACAGCACACGAACCGACCAGCGCCCAAAGTTTGTGAGAAAGCTCACCTTATCTGCCGGCCTCTTGAGCGGGAGTCACTTCGTAGCTCATGAATGGAACGCTGAAGAGACGCAACACGTCCCAAAAATCCTCGTCGCCATTCTGTGGTGCCGAGACAACGATGCTGACATGCTGTGTAGACAAGAAATCCGCTGACACTGTCCTTGATTATAATGGTTTATTAAATCAAAGATTACAGTATCAATTTACAGACTCCTGCAGAAATCCGGAGAACAACTGACCCAATCTCTAATATGTTATTCTCTCCGTCCTTTGTTCAAAACATGGTATTTATATCCTATGTAACATAAGATGGGTGGTTTTTGATAGACCAATCCCTGGCCTCCCCATATCTTCAAATGTCCCCAAGAAGCCTATGTAATAATGCTTTCCAGATGTTTCAGCAAAGCAGAGTAAAGTTCATCTATTACACCATTTGCAAATGTCAGCAAAATCATAGACTTTCAGATACTACAATCCATTATTGATGTGACTTGTTAAATCCACGTCAGTCAATGTGGATGAAGGGGAGGAGACAGGTTAAAGAAGGATTTTTAAGCCTTGAGACAATCGAGACATGGATTGTGTATGTGTGCCATTCAGAGGGTGAATGAACAAGACAAAATACTTTAGTGCCTTTGAACGGGGTATGATAGTAGGTGCCAGGCGCGCTGGTTTGTGTCAAGAACTGCAACGCTGCTGGGTTTTTCACGCTCAACAGTCTCCCGTGTATATCAAGAATGGTCACCCCCCCCCCCCCCCCCCCCCCCAAAGGACATCCAGTCAACATGACACAACTGTGGGAAGCATTTTATAAATTTTTATTTTACCTTAATTTAACTAGGCAAGTCAGTTAAGAACAAATTCTTATTTACAATGACAGCCTACACCGGCCAAACCCGGACGACGCTGGGCCAATTGTGCGTCGCCCTATGGGACTCCCAATCACGGCCGGTTGTGATACAGCCTGGAATTGAAGTGTAGTGTAATTGTAGTGACACCTCAAGCACTGAGATGCAGTGCCTTAGACCACTGCGCCACTCGGGAGTCAATATGGACCAGCATCCTTGTGGAACGCTTTCAACACCTTGTAGAGTCCATGCCCCGACGAATTGAGGCTGTTCTGAGGGCAAAAGGGGGGTGCAACTCAATATTAGGAAGGTTTCCTAATGCTTGGTATAATCAGTGTAAATATTGCATTGAGACATTGCATACTACAATCTCTTTGTGGCTGCTTACACAATAATAGACAATCCTGAATAATAAGTGTTCAGTTCATTTACTTGTTTTGAACTCTTCTAACATGTGCTTTATGAACATAATTACCCCACATTACATTTTCTTGATAAATGTCAAAGCCAATGGTGTATCATAAAATGTTATTTTATTATATGTCCCAGTCCTTACAACTGTTTCTTGATTTCATGGAGGGGTTTCAGGAGGAGCTATGTGAAGAAGTCAGGCAGGTTTCCACTAAACAAGATAAAGCTGAGTTGGCTGAGGCTCCTTCTCCTGAGCCTTATACTCAGCACACTTTTCCTCACACTCCTCAACTGTAGCAACTTACTGTATATAACCAACTCTGGGTCCCTTTCAAATCAACTGTCAACTCAACCAGGCCTGGAAGATTGACAACCACAGCCCCCCACCAACCTTTGGCAGTGTGCAGCTCAACAGTGAAGAAAGCCCCTAGGTGGCCATTGGCGACGCACATACATTTATGGTATCAGAGATTTGAATAATCGCCATCGCACTCTGCGAGTGAGAAGGCAGTCTTTCAGTGCTAATTCTGCTGCGATGGACAAAAATACAACTCTTCAGCTGTTAACAGCATCCACTCTGACCACTATACATTTGACTATGGCACAGCTGACATCATGTGCCCAGTCCCTCATAGATGTGAAGCCCCCAACCGCATAGCCCTTTACATTGACTTGCCAGATGAAGAGCCTCCTTTCATACCAGTCTTGAACCTGAGGGCCCGCAACGAGTCCTTCCCCTACGAGTTCACTGTCTGCATCTCCCCCATGTTTGACTTTGACAACATCCTGCTTTTGGAAAAACCAAAGGGTGTGCAATGTGTCCCTAACCTGTGAACAAAACAAAGTTGGTTTTAGGTGCCTAGGTCATGTGATCAAGGATTTATTTAAATTCTAAGTAAAAATTGTAACAAATAAATTAAGGTAAAAGAACATTAAAGAATTTGTCAGAAAACCAAAGCATGTGTGATGTGTGTCCCTACCCTGTTAATACTCCAAAGTTGGTTTGAGGTGTCTAGTTCACATGGTCAAGGAGCTATTGGATTTTAAATGATTTTATATACACTGCTCAAAAAAATAAAGGGAACACTAAAATAACACATCCTAGATCTGAATGAATGAAATAATCTTATTAAATACTTTTTTCTTTACATAGTTGAATGTGCTGACAACAAAATCACACAAAAATGATCAATGGACATCAAATTTATCAACCCATGGAGGTCTGGATTTGGAGTCACCCTCAAAATTAAAGTGGAAAACCACACTACAGGCTGATCCAACTTTGATGTAATGTCCTTAAAACAAGTCAAAATGAGGCTCAGTAGTGTGTGTGGCCTCCATGTGCCTGTATGACCTCCCTACAACGCCTGGGCATGCTCCTGATGAGGTGGCGGATGGTCTCCTGAGGGATCTCCTCCCAGACCTGGACTAAAGTATCCGCCAACTCCTGGACAGTCTGTGGTGCAATGTGGCGTTGGTGGATGGAGCGAGACATGATGTCCCAGATGTGCTCAATTGGATTCAGGTCTGGGGAACGGGCGGGCCAGTCCATAGCATCAATGCCTTCCTCTTGCAGGAACTGCTGACACACTCCAACCAAATGAGGTCTAGCATTGTCTTGCATTAGGAGGAACCCAGGGCCAACCGCACCAGCATATGGTCTCACAAGGGGTCTGAGGATCTCATCTCGGTACCTAATGGCAGTCAGGCTACCTCTGGCGAGCACATGGAGGGCTGTGCGGCCCCCCCAAAGAAATGCCACCCCACACCATGACTGACCCACCACCAAACCGGTCATGCTGGAGGATGTTGCAGGCAGCAGAACGTTCTCCACGGCGTCTCCAGACTCTGTCAAGTCTGTCACGTGCTCAGTGTGAACCTGCTTTCATCTGTGAAGAGCACAGGGCGCCAGTGGCGAATTTGCCAATCTTGGTGTTCTCTGACAAATGCCAAACGTCCTGCACGGTGTTGGGCTGTAAGCACAACCCCCACCTGTGGACATCGGGCCCTCATACCACCCTCATGGAGTCGTTTGAGCAGACACATGCACATTTGTGGCCTGCTGGAGGTCATTTTGCAGGGCTCTGGCAGTGCTCCTCCTGCTCCTCCTTGCACAAAGGCGGAGGTAGCAGTCCTGCTGCTGGGTTGTTGCCCTCCTACGGCCTCCTCCACGTCTCCTGATGTACTGGCCTGTCTCCTGGTAGCGCCTCCATGCTCTGGACACTACGCTGACAGACACAGCAAACCTTCTTGCCACAGCTCGCATTGATGTGCCATCCTGGATGAGCTGCACTACCTGAGCCACTTGTGTGGGTTGTAGACTCCGTCTCATGCTACCACTAGAGTGAAAGCACCGCCAGCATTCAAAAGTGACCAAAACATCAGCCAGGAAGGATAGGAACTGAGAAGTGGTCTGTGGTCACCACCTGCAAAACCAGTCCTTTATTGGGGGTGTCTTGCTAATTGCCTATAATTTCCACCTGTTGTCTATTCCATTTGCACAACAGCATGTGAAATGTATTGTCAATCAGTGTTGCTTCCTAAGTGGACAGTTTGATTTCACAGAAGTGTGATTGACTTGGAGTTACATTGTGTTGTTTAAGTGTTCCCTTTATTTTTTTGAGCAGTGTATATAAGTGGAACTTGCCCCTGTGTAAGGAATAATGGACAGTTGAAATTAGGTTGCTAAGTCACATGGTGTCAGAGCTATTGAAATGTTAATATCGTGATTATGCACTTTGTTGACGGTCCCTAACTAGTTGCATTGACTGCGCATCAGGCTGCCTTTAAATTGCCATGTGATTATGAAACTGGGGTCGGAATCGGGAAAACAAGACCTGTGCAATATTGTACACTTTTTTACCATCATAACGAGCCTAACTTGAGGTATGTAGCACAACTTGTTCGTGAGCTATTGACGTTTGAAGGTCTGAATGTCTGTTGAAATTTAAACCAACTTTACCTTGGTTCATTACCGCATTACTGTACGTTCTCATTTGGTTAGCTAGGAAGAAATGTAAATCACTTTGCTAGCTAGCTATGCTGATCTTGAACGACTGTTATCCATAGTTGGCATATCTTATTTGTCAATCAAATGTATTTGGCATCAATCAAATTGGCGGGCAGGCAAGTTCCCATTCAGTTGTCATCGTTTATCAGTGCAATTTTGACGGCCAACTACAAGCTGTTCCCTCGTTCGATTTCAGCACATCTTGCTCTAGCTAGTTTAGTTGTTGATGATTTGCATATAACTGAGGGAGAGAGAGCCTTCCTGTTCATGGTTGTTTGATCAATAGGACTGTAAAGTTCCCAAATGTAAGAGGTCTCCAGTGATATTTGCATAAATCCATTCAGGTGTATTTTTTATGGCTTTTGGCAAATGCTTTCTAATGATCTAAAGACCCTCTGTTGATATACTGCCTGTAAACACCGGGGCGGCAGGTAGCTTAGTGGTTAAGAGCGTTGTGCCAGTAACCGAAACGTCGCTGGTTCTAATCCCCGAGCCGACTAGGTGAAAAATCTGTCTGTGCCCTTGAGCAAGGCACTTAACCCTAATTGCTCCTGAAAGTCGCTTTGGATAAGAGCGATGACAAAAAGAAGAAGAAAAAAAAAATATATATATGGGTAATTCTTCAACTATGGTACTCTTTGAGCTAGACAGTTTCAGAAAATAAAAACATTTCTACAAACAATTTTTTAGTATCAGTTGGTTTCTCAATCTGTCTGGAAACCTTCCCTGAAGTTGGCTGTGATGATTTGTATTTACTAATATATATTTTTTGCCATTTTTATCTGACAGTCCAAGAAAACGGTCATTTCCATCACATAACAAAACATGCATTTTTAAGAGAAAATAATGAAATATCTTCTGTTATAAATATATTTGATTAAATAGCGCACACATATCTGTTCAAATTTGTAATTTATTATTTTTTTCAGAAATGTAACTGTAAAGATTTTACAATGTTTACACTAAAAAACACCTAAAACTAGGTCAATGGAACATTTCATTTTCTTATCATAGCTCAAAATCATATATTTCTCAAAGTGTATACACAAATCTTAGCCCTAACTGCACAATTATCAACACCACTGAATATAGTTGGTTTGATTGTATGTTTTTTATATGTTTTACTTTAAAATATGTGTTGTGGTGGAAATGACATGGCGTGGCGGAAGAGACAGTGTGTGGCGGAAATGACAGATAGGCAACTTCCAATTAAAAACAATTTTTCTACTGCTCTATGTGGTGAACCAGAGCAAATCAATAAGCAACAGCATTTGTGAACAAAAACATATCACCAATATTTTTAAATTAAAAACAATCCAAAAAATGAAAAAACATGAATTTGTGTTAAAAATCTGCAAATCATTTCTTCACTGTTTTCTACATGCTGAACTAGAGCAAACTAGTACAAACTAGAGCAAACCCTTTATGTCATCATTACCTTAACATAACCTTAATATAACCAGTTGAATAACAGATAAAATAGGCAATATATTTTGAAATTGAAAACTTATATGCCTATGCTGAACCAGAGCAAACACTCTGTACTTAAACATTACTGTCATGTGTGTTATATCGTAAATCCATGTACTGTCAAACGTAATCATGTGGAATAACAAGTTGAATCTGACTAAATAGACATTGTATTTGCTAAATACTGTATCTGTCAAACTTGTTGCTTTGTTTTCATTTTAGGTGACTCTAGGATCCCCAGGTTCTTCTTCAGTCGATTACTTCTTTTTTTGTATTTTTCAACTTTTCTGAGGGCATCCTCAAGCTTTTGTTTAATGTCATTAAGATCTCTGTACACCTTTGCTTTTGCCTTAGCAAACTTTTTTCTCCCTCTTTTCCTCTGTGGAGTTCTCTCTGGTGTAGGCTCACACAGCTGAGGTGTTTCAGGGATGTCTTCTGCATTAACACTCATGGTGTCTGGTGATGGTGGTGGTGTTGTATGTGCCATGAAACTATTCACTGCTGAGACCATTTTCCATTTCCTACGTCTGTTTCGTTGAGAAATTCGCCACTGTCTTCTCATTTTTCGTTGTTCTCTTTTCGGCATTTCTGTCACAGATTTAACAACACCTTGTTGCTTTTTCTTCAGGTATCTTTCTCTGTCCTTCTTGAGGGACTCTGCATATTTAAGTGGATCTGATTTTATTCTTTCTCTGTATGATCTTGACCTCTGTGCTGTGGTATTGCTTGCCATCTTAAAGAAAGAGCCAAGACATCATGTCAAACCTACTTATCTATTGTTCTCTTATTTACCAACAATATTGTAATATTGTTAAAACTGTTTTTGAATTTAGTATCAGTATTATAGCCCAAATAATTTGCTGTTTAGCACGAACAATGTCATTTCCACCACAACCTGTCTTTACCACCACAATGAACACCGTGGTGGAAATGACTGTGGTGGAAATGACATTTCCCCACTTTCCCTCTAAAATCTCATGCTATGTTAGCCTGCTAATATTAGTTTTAGAGTTAGCATTAAATATACACAAATTACACATTATTAAATTAAATGTATCCAGTTATTTTTACGTCCATGTGAAATATGAGCTGTTTGGAAATGACGACCAATAAACATACTCTCAGTTTTACTCATATTTACCTTGATTTTTCTTCTTTTCATTACCCCCTGTAGAGGACACCATTTCATCCAGCCATGTGTTCCACTGTGGAGTTTCTGTTGCTATGGTTACTAAATATACAAACCTAAAACACTGATCCCAGGATTCTATTTTGTACAGTGTGGTGGAAATGACAGTGACCCCAAGGGACAAGGGTTCTATTTATGAAAAATATAGGAAAATGTGAATATGTATCACAATATATAATATGTAGAATTGAAATAAATGGTATTTTATCATTTGTACTTGAAATCTACATTATTTAAATATTTAATTTAGAATTAAGCGAGGTTGAAGATACAAAGTCTGGCTTAGGGACAGAGGGAAAACAGTAAAAACCATGCATAAAAGGCCTCATATTATATAATAAAAAGAATGATTGAGCCATGATACATTTTTTATAAGTTCCCCTTAGGGTGGAGTAAGTATGACAAAAACAAAAAAGAAGAAATGTTTTTTAGTTTTTATTATTTCATCCAGGGACAAGAAAAGTACCATAGTTAAAGAATCACCCATATATATATATATATAAACACAGTTTAGTTCAAAGTGAAGGATGGCAGGCCCATGTTGCAAATGGCTTATTTGCATATACAGTTGAAGTCGGAAGTTAACGTACACCTAAACCAAATACATTTAAACTCAGTTTTTCACAATTCCTGACATTTAATCCTAGTAAAAATTCCCTGTCTTAGGTCAGTTAGGATCACCACTTTATTTTAAGAATGTGAAATGTCAGAATAATAGTAGATAGAATGATTTATTTCAGCTTTTATTCCTTTCATCACATTCCCAGTGGGTCAGAAGTTTACATACACTCAATTAGTATTTGGTAGCATTGCCTTTAAATTGTTTAACTTGGGTCAAACATTTCGGGTAGCCTTCCACAAGCTTCCCACAATAAGTTGGGTGAATTTTGGCCCATTCCTCCTGACAGAGCTGGTGTAACTGAGTCAGGTTTGTAGGACTCCTTGCTCACACATGCTTTTTTCAGTTCTGCCCACACATTTTCTATAGGTTTGAGGTCAGGGCTTTGTGATGGCCACTCCAATACCTTGACTTTGTTGTCCTAAGCCATTTTGCCACAACTTCGGAAGTATGTCTGTAAATGTAAATGTAAATATGCTTGGGGTCATTGTCCATTTGGAAGACCCATTTGCGACCAAGCTTGAACTTCCTGACTGATGTCTTAAGATGTTGCTTCAATATATCCGACAGTAGAGGATGCCTGGTTGTTCTTTAAAAGTGCTTTCCTCTCAATCTTAAATAAGCATGCCCCATTCAAAAATTTCAGAACTAAGAACAGTTATAGCCCCTGGTTCTCCTCAGACTTGGCTGCCCTTGACCAGCACAAAAACATCCTGTGGCGTACTGCATTAGCATCGAACAGCCCCCGGGATATGCCACTTTTTAGGGAAGTCAGGAACCAATATACACAATCAGTTAGGAAAGCAAAGGCTAGCTTTTTCAAACAGAAATGTGCATCCTGTAGCACTAACTCCAAAAAGTTTTGGGACACTGTAAAGTCCATGGAGAATAAGAGCACCTCCTCCCAACTGCTCACTGCACTGAGGCTAGGAAACACTGTCACCACCGATAAATCTACAAGAATTGCAACAAGCATTTTCCTACGGCTGGCCATGCTTTCCACCTGGCTAGCACTACCCCGGCCACCAGCTCTGCACCCTCCGCTGCAACTTTCCCATGCGAACGCTACTTGCACCCGCCCACCCGACTAGAATCACTACTCTTGGCGGGTCTGACCTAGAGTATGTGGACAACTACAAATACCTAGGTGTCTGGTTAGACTGTAAACTCTCCTTCCAGACTCACATTAAGCATCTCCAATCAAAAGTTAGATCTAGAATCGGCTTCCTATTTCGCAACAAAGCCTCCTTCACTCATGCTGCCAAACATGCCCTCGTAAAACGGACTATCCTACCAATCCTTGACTTCGGCTATGTTATTTACAAAATAGCCTCCAACACTCTACTCAGCAAATTGGATGTAGTCTATCACAGTGCCATCCGTTTTGTCACCAAAGCCCCATATACTACCCACCATTGTGACCTGTACGCTCTTGTTGGCTGGCCCTCACTACATATTCGTCGCCAAACCCACTGGCTCCAGGTCATCTATAAATCACTGCTAGGCAAATCCCCGTCTTATCTTAGCTCACTGGTCACCATAGCAACACCCACCCGTAGTCTGCGCTCCAGAAGGTATATCTCACTGGTCATCCCCAAAGCCAACACCTCCTTTGGTCGTCATTCCTTCCAGTTCTCTGCTGCCAATGACATTCCCAAACATTCCTATGAAAGTATAAAAATGTGAAAATCACCATATCTAAGTGCTTGCTTGTTAGAAAATGTTTTTTTTTTTAAAGGCGTCATATTCTTCCTGGGAGTGTGTACAGATTTGAATACGATTTAATGTTGTTAAAACACTGTCAGTTCCACTTTAAATGTAAAATAAATCTACTATATATAATTAATTTCTAAGTAAAAAAATGGATGTACCTATCTCAGATTGTGTCTTTTAAATATGTTGATGTTTGCACACTGCTTTCTGACCCTTGTATGGCCATTTGTGTTCTGCAGCTTTCTTCAGAGAGACCCTCATCAGCCCCTCAACTCTGACAATGAAGAAGATATATCTGGGTTTGACTCTGTTCACCTTGGGATATGTGATTTTTATTTTATTTACTAAGGAATGGTCTGTAGAGCAATTGTTTAGGAGGATAGACTGGGCAAAGGACACCTGCAGTCTAAATTTGAGCACTGACCCCTTCATCCCGGTCCACAGGTCCAAAACATTTGTGCTGAATGCTTTCTTCGAGCACCGGACCCATAACATGAGCATCCGTCTCATCTCCATTGTGTGGCGACCAGAAAATACCATCCATCACTGCTTAATGTGCTGCCAAGGCCGTCTGGTAACCTCTTTGGCCAAGCAGACTATCCACAATTCCCACTTTTGGTTCCCTTATGGCACGGGGGACTTCCTGTGTGACATCCCAGAGGACTGTGAGCCCACACATGCTGGCCTGGTGTCTGAGGAATTTGATCCTGAGCACATCACTGTTGTCCCAATCTTAAACAGGGTACCAAGGGAGTCCGGCTTTCCTGTCAACTTCACTGTGTGCCTCTCTACCATGTTTGGGGGGTATAACAACGTGCTACAATTTGTGCAGGCCATGGAGATGTACCGCCTGCTGGGGGCCCAGAGGGTGGTGGTCTATAAGACCAACTGCAGCCGTGACATGGAGGAGGTACTCCATTACTATGAAGACGAAGTGGGTCTGGTGGAAGTAGTTCCCTGGCCAATCGACACCCACATCAAGGTGTCCTCCAGCTGGCTTGCCAGCAAGTCGCCCGGTGACCTGCACTACTATGGCCAGATCCCTGCACTCAATGACTGTGTGTACAGGAACATGTACCAGACCAAGTATCTCCTCCTCCATGACCCCGATGAGATCATCGTCCCTGTGGACAACAACACCTGGGGGGAGCTCCTGAGCACTCTGGAGGTCAAATATGGCAACAAGGCCAACTTCTACTTCGAAAACAATGTTTTCCCAATCGAGGAGACTGACGAAAGCAGCAGGTTCAACTTGTCAGAGTGGGCCACCATCCCTGGCGTTAACTTCCTTCTGCACGTCCTGCGAGAGCCCATACCCAAATCCCACTACACAACGGGGAAGCTGATCGTCAACCCCAGGACTGTGTTTGAAATCTCAGTGCATGGCGTGAAGAGGCAGAACAGCCGGACAGTAGAGGTGTCTTCCCATCTCGGCAGGCTCTATCATATCCGCCGGCGGAAGAACGCCAAGCTGAATAGCAGCGACTTGGTCAGGGATGAGGGACTGTTGAGGTTCGCCCCACAAATGATCAGAAAGGTAGCAAACTCCCTCAGCAAAATGAACCTGCCCTCCCAGAAACAGCAAGCGCTCTAGTCTAGTCTAGTGTCTAAGCTCTAGATTTAATCATTGTTTCTCTTCAGTTCAGTTCTTCATTTAGGTGTTTTTAACAAGAATCATTGTTTGAAGTTGATTAATTGCATTATATTTTGATTGATAAATAGCCCAAACCTCACTGTGGAACGTGACTGGCAACAATTAGACTTTTCTTAAGATATTCTATTCAGCGCAGACCAATGTACCATCATTGGGTGTGCCTCTTATCAGGAAATAAATATAATGCTATTGTGAGCAAAGGAAAATGGTCTAATCTAGTCATGAATCTGCACACAGCAGATTTACAGACGCCACATTTGTCAGAGGTGCTGAATTATTGGATGTTGTTGGACGGAAAATGTTCAGACACCTTCTGTGACTTACCTTACTCAACATTCTTGATGTGATGTTTTGTCTAACTTGATAATAAACTGGTACGCACTGCAAAAAATGAAATCCTAGCAAGTGAAAACATCTTGCATCAAGGCAATTAATTTTAAAAAATGTCCGCCAATAAATCATCTTCCCAAGCACTGTATGTGTTAGATTATTCAGCTTGTTTTAAGAAAATTGGTCTTGAGGTGTCTAATTTAGATATTATATCTAATTCTAGGTATTTTATGTGAAACTAGCACAACTAGACAATAAACAAGTTATAATGTAATGCCATTAATGTTGATGATATTAAATCAGGATTGCTTCTCTTGTTTTAAGAACCAGACCTGAGGAAATTCCTCAAATTTCCACCGGTCTGATGTCCATTGCTCGTGTTTCTTGGCCCAAGCTGGTCTCTTCTTCTTATTGGTGTCCTTTAGTAGTGGTTTCTTAGTCCCCTCTGAACAGTTGACATTGAGATGTGTCTGTTACTTGAACTCTGTGAAGCATTTATTTGGGCTGCAATTTCTGAGGCTGGTAACTCTAATGAACTTATCCTCTGCAGCAGAGGTAACTCTGGGTCTTCCGTTCCTGTGGCGGTCCTCATGAGGGCCAGTTTCATCATAGTGCTTGATGGTTTTTGAGACTGCACTTGAAGAAACTTTCAAAGTTCTTGAAATGTTCCATATTGACTGACCTTCATGTCTTTAAAGTAATGATGGACTGTCGTTTCTCTTTGCTTATTTGAGCTGTTCTTGCCATAATATGGACTTGGTCTTTTACCAAATAGGGCTATCTTCGGGAAACCCTTCTTACCTTGTCACAACACAACTGATTGGCTCAAACACATTAAGAAGGAAAGAAATTCCACAAATTAACTTTTAAGAAGGCACACCTGTTAATTGAAATGCATTCCAGGTGACTACCTCATGAAGCTGGTTGAGAGAATGTCAAGAGCGTGCAAAGCTGTCGTCAAGGCAAAGGGTGGCTATTTGAAGCACCTCAAATATAAAATATATTTTGATTTGTTTAACACTTTTTTGCACGCTACATGATTCCATACGTGTATTTCATAGTTTTGATGTCTTCACTATTCTACAATGTAGAAAATAGTAAAAATAAAGAAAAACCCTGGAATGAGTAGGTGTGTCCAAACTTTTCACTGGTACTGTGTGCCTTCGGAAATTATTCAGACCCCCTCCCTTTTTCTACATATTGTTAGGTTACAGCCTTATTCTGAAATTGTTTAAATTGTTTATTTTTTTCCTCATCAATCTACACACAATACCCCATAATGACAAAGCAAAAACAGGTTTTTAGACATTTTGGCTAATTTATTAAAAAGACATCCCCACAGCATGATGCTGCCACCACCATGTTTCACCGTAGGGGTGGTTTTGGCCAGGTGATGAGCGGTGCCAGGTATCCTCCAGACGTGATGCTTGGCATTCAGGCCAAAGAGTTTCTTGTTCTCATGGTCTGGGAGTCTTTTAGGTGCCTTTTGGCAAACTCCAAGCGGGCTGTCATGTGCCTTTTTCTTGGGGGCCTTCAATGCTGCAGACATTTTTTGGTACCCTTCCCCAGATCTGTGCATCGCACACAATCCTGTCACGGCGCTCTACGGACAATTCCTTCGACCGCATGGCTTTGTTTTTGCTCTGACATGCACTGTCAACTGTGGGGACCTTATATAGACAGGTGTGTGCCTTTCCAAATCATGTCCAATCAATTGAATTTACCACAGGTGCACTCCAATCAAGTTGTAAAAACATCTCAAGGATGATCAATGGAAACAGGATGCACCTGACCTCAATTTCGAGTCTCATAGCAAAGGGTCTGAATACTTATGTAAATAAGGTATCTGTTTCGCTTTTTCATTATGGTGTATAGATTGAAGATAATATATTTAAAAAAAAAACATTTTAGAATAAGGCTGTAACTTAACAAAATGTGGAAAAACTGAAGGGGTCTGAATACTTTCCGAATGCACTCAATTAACATGAACTTTACATATGAATATATTAACTTAACTATGAATCTGGAAATACATTGTCTTGCAATTCTTGGCACCACTTGTCTTTTTATTTTTATCGAGAACTCTGAAAGGAAAAAAATGGAATCAAACCAGATGGATAAATGATATTTGGTTGTCTATGAAGAGTTTCTGAAGACAGTCATGTAGAGAATAATATTTGTCTGTGAAGTAAAACCATTTGTTTTTCTTCCATATTGTCACTACCCAATCAGACTACGGACAGCCATCTTTATGAGAGGCATAACTGATCTCATTTTACACCTTGAATTGAGTGGTTGAATTGCAAAGTAAACATAATACCAAATAATAGTTTTATACGGAGATCACCTGAAATATGTAGATTAGTCTTTCTCAGAACATGGTCAGAAACCCAAGTAGTAGTAGTAGTAGTAGTAGTAGTAGTAGATTTTATTGGTTTCTCGCATTCATAGACTAAATTGTACAGCAATTTTCAATCGTAGATTATTATCAAATAGTAAAATCCTAAAGTAGCACAATAATTTAAATATAACACAATGTTAAAAGATACAATACATACAAAATAATAACACTACAATGACAATGTTTGGGTCGCAGCAGAAAATCGCAGTGCATGACAAGTATATGGTAAAGTATAATGTGTAGGCCTAATTTTCCACCTGTATGTTTAGATCTAGCCAGAATGAATGGTCTATTTCAGTTGCTATAGGCCTGTCAGATATGAAAATAATACATTGGTATTATAATGCAATCCTTTGATTGTATTATATTCAGTGAATCTTTGAGCATTTTCCAGCTATCAATAAAGTGCAGAAGATGTCCAAACTGATGCGTAAAGGCGCATAGCTTTCTGTAAGCATGAACGAGGCCACTGTTCAATATATCGATTGCCGCTTTTATCCAAGCATTTTCATAATTTGACCACCCGTCTTGCTATAGGTTATCATATTCAGGTTCCGTTAGCGATTTATCACTGATCAATTATTTGGAGGAAACTATACCATGGTTGTACTCCCAGCATGTAGCTTTTTTTATTTGGTGCTGTAGACCTATACTAGAGGTTATTTACAATGCAAGATTACAATAATATAAAGACAACATCCATGCGTAAAGAACAACCCTGTCCAGAGCTGTTTGGATAATGCGTTGCGCCATTCTGAGATGCACTTTGTAGCCTACTTTGTAACTTAACTTGTTTCGGTTTTTACTGTGTGCATTAGGGCTTAAGTGTCATTTCTATTTATACTGTGAAATAATTATATTTTGTATAAAATAATTATTATATTCTCCCATCCAGATACTCAGCTCGTTTGTGTGGTGACTTTTTTAGGGATGGGAGAGATTCTCCGAATATTTATTTGTAAGGCTGTGGACAGGTCAAGGTCATCTTAAATCATTGGATAACAAAAGTAGGCTGTAATGATGAGAGTATACAACTAAAAGTGTGCCGTTTTCTTTCAATTTATACAGCTTGTGTCATAACGGGAGGTCCAAGGCAGGTTGAATTAATTTGCATACAGGGAGGGACCATGGCATCTGGGCACAATGTGGACGCAGCAGCAGATAAGACATTTTATTACCATGTGTAGAAGCAACAAATCTCGATCAGATAGTGATCCGATCAAGATCTGATGATGACAACCACATGTTAATCCAAGTTGTAAACCACAACTTCTGTTATCTGATTGTGCCATGTGACAGTGGGGGCAGAGCAGGAGGAATCTGGTTTGGAATGCAAATCTTGCAACTCTTATACCAACTCTCAAGTGTTGGATCAAGATTGACAGGAACATCTGTCAAATACATCTGCTAATGTCAAGATAAGCAGGCTTTATCGTACACACTGGCTTTCCTTATTGATTATCATATCATCCTAACTTGGTGCAGAGGGAAAAGGGCTAAGGTGTTAATCTTGCATAGATACAACGTAACCATAGTCCATTAAAGCTTATATCCTGTTGGAAAAAATTGTTGGATCAATGGAAATCAAAGTTTAAGTTAGTGATATTGGATTAGACATATTCAGCTTGAAAACAGTTCAATAAAAAAAGCCACAACAAATTTGTACTCCAGTTTCAGTTTATTTATCAGGTTGTAGAGAGCATAAGAGGATCCATGTTAATCCGTTTCTGTATATCAAATATTCATAAAAGCTATTGAGGCATGGCAAAGCAACACCATTTTAGCGTGATATTTCTAGTAATTAGGCCTACATTTCAAATGGAAGCTAGTAATTGTAACATCTAAACCGTTGTATATTTTTTCCCCTTTCCCAGTTTGAAACCTGAATATCAATTACAGTGTCATATGCTCATGTATTTTTGTCAAGCTTGCTTAAAAATGCATCAGCTGTCATTTAAGATTATTTAATGACTTTGTTACATGATAAAATGCCTTTGTTTGGGCTTCAGTTTGTGGCACCAAGACTCCAGACATGTACAAAAAGCCTTTTTCCTATTTACAAACACACATCCACAAATATGTTTACATACATCATCCTATGAATAAGGACATTGAGTACTTTTTTTTGTGTTCACTGGACGGAACAGGCTAAAGCCTTTTAGTCAACGTAAGTATGTAACGCAAGAAAGCACTTAGCCACACAAAATGGCTTCCCTGCGTAGTTGTGACACGTTACACATTTTGGGCTGCAAATTCTGCAATGCAATTCTGCAGGGCAGCCATTCCGCGTAGCTAATTGCATTCTTGCATTTCCTACTTACGTAGGCTATAAATTAGCCTTAACTGTGCTTCCATCCTTGGCTCAGTCAAAGCTTTTGAGATTGAGGACCCAAGCTAGATTGCTAATATACAACCATATGTTCACAAATGCTTAGAAAACATAATTAACTAACTAAATACAGTATACAAAACATGACAAGCCAGTCAATTATCCTTTTTAGACAATTACATAAAAAAAACAATACAAAAGACAGGTCAACAATACTGTTACACTTGTGCTGTGAGGCAATGCTAATTCTACAATGCCATTTGTCTGGTTTTATTTATCCGTGCAAGTGTCCCGCACCTCTGCAGCGAATGGTGGGGAGCGGTGATGGTCAGTGGACAGTCTTATCTTTCCATAGAGAGGTAGTGTCTTGTCAGATGAAACACTCCTGGTCAGCTCGTGGCCTTACCTGACCAGGTGATAGGTCAACCAGTACATGAATATGGGCTGGGCGGCTGCGATGGACATGGTCAGGTACATCCTCAGCTGGTTCCTGGCCCCGTGGACCAACACGCCTTGGGCTGCTGCCTCAGACAGGAGCTTTAGTCTCAACGTGCGGATCTGAAGAGATGACCAAGACAGAGGGAGCCAAAATCAAGCTTGTGAACCTACGTACAGTAGTCAAGGCACTGGCAGGGGACATTGGGCGGAGTAAATTCGATTCTAAAGTCAGCTCTTCCTGCTACTCACCATGAAGACGAAGATGGATATACAGCACCACAGCAGCGTTAGGTAATACCCTGTTCGACCAAATAGTAACCCTGCCACAACCCCTACAATCATCCTGCACACACAAGGGAATCCTTCACAATTCATCCGAGTAGTTGATGTGCTATCATGTCTATACAACTTTTAAAAATCAGACGACATCAATGTTGAAAGACAGGGAAATCCAGAACCACAAAACGCAATGTCATACTAATCATGTCAGAGAGAGCGAGAGAGAGACCATCCGTACCCCACATATTTGTATCCGGAGAAGGCCACAAGGTCGATGGTGGTGAGGTCTGTGTTGACTGTGACCAGGTAGAGACTGAGGAGGACAGCCAGCACCTCCATGATGAGCCACACCAGGGCTGAGCTGGCCTGCATGCCCAGGATCTCAGGGGTAAACCTAGAGCCAGAGGGGGGGGAGGGTAGATACAAGTTTCAGTATACTCTTTCTACAGAAAACTGTGAAGAAAGGTCCAAAGAAGTGAGTGGAAGTGGGCCACCTTTACCTGTTCTGTGTTCCGAGCGCTAACCCAGCCACCAGGATGTATGTGATAAAACCCATTGCTGCAAAATAATATAAAACCATGTTAAAACAATACAAAAACAATAATAGGCTAGTTACAGGTCTTATTAGTTTGGTTCAGTCAAGGTGGTAGACCTGACCAAATCTCCGTTACCTGGAATGTACAAGTCAGGAGCGTTGATATCAAAGCGTGGAGCCACTGGGGTGTCCTGTTGGTAGCTCACTTCCCAGTTCTAATGAAAAACAAACCAAAACATACATCTTCTTTAGTTCCCCAATCAATGAGTGTCATCCTAGGGCATAAGTTCAGTATCAGCTTGGTAGCTCTGAGTCTGGACACGGACACAAGCAATACCAACAGATGGTGACCAGATGGTTACCATAGTAACACAGGGTGACATGTAAGCAGTACCTGGTGCATGTAGGGGAAGACTAGCAGGCCGAGTTTCTTGCCCACGTAAACTGTGTCCACAGCAAAGTAATACTTCAGCTTGGAGATGGGGAGGAAACGATCCAGCTGTAGATTCAACGGAGCAAAACCAAGACGATTTAGGCCTACTTAATGGCACTCATGTTGCTACTTACTAACTGGTACCACAACTATTTACCATCACTACCATGAGTCTTACATTTTTGTCCACTAAGTCTTTGCCCTGGCTGGCCAGGCTGCTCCCGTAGGCCATTGCCAAGTTGGACATGGGATCTGAGAGGAGGGTCTGGCCAGGGTAACCCATCGCACCAACACCCTGGCCCGGAAACCCAGCGGGCTGCACCCCCGGCGCTGCACTGGTGTCGTCAAACAGCTGGCTGGGGTCTGTCCCGTCCATTGACGTGTTCTTCATTTTGGGATCTGTCACGCAAGAGGCGGATGAAAGCACATTCTGGTCAGTGGAGTGGGGAACAAAGACTGCAAGTACTGCGCAACACACGCATCGTTAATAACTGTGATGTTATGTGAAGTTGTAAGTTGACAAACTTCCAATGCATTTGAAGGACAACAAAAAAAATGTAGCTGCAAAAGAAGGAGCTTTGCAGTGCACACTGACACACATCAACAAAATAGCCTAAGCAGACAGTGCCAATAAAGGGGTCTCTTCACTCCATGTGTAAGATAAACCCTGCTCTCAGTCACCAATTCTGGGTGTGTTTTATCCACTGAGGACAGAATGTGAAGTTTGAAATTAAATAAGTCTGCTAATATGGGCTATTGCTAACTGGACAAAATGGTACAATATTAAGTAGTAGCTTTAAGGGTCATAGGACACAAGTAACTGGTGCACACTAATGTTGAAGTTATCATTACATTTCTCATTAGTGTGACAATTGAGTCAATTTATCGTGATATGGATCTTTGTCCATATCGTCCAGCTCTAGTCTGTGTCAAAAAAGCCTATAGGCCTAAATAATTAAATACAATGTTTGTTATTCATTAGAAGCACATCTCTTAATCTCCATTTCTGACCTATTTTCACAGGTAGGCCTATCGTTTCATATCCTTTACAAAATCATTAAGTTTACCATGGTGCTCTTAGCCCTTCTCATGACTCCAATTCCATTCCTTTACAGTGGAATCCATGTCCCATTTAGCCTTGTGAGTGAAATGGCCCGATGCTCCGACGCTGCCCAAATGCTCTGTCTAAACGCAAACACGGCTCACTTGCGATTTGGTTTTGGAAACATTTGGAACTTAACTTTCATATAAGCGAGAAATCATTTTTCAAATACAAAAGGTACACTCACTGTACGCAGTTTAGAAAAGTTGTACCTGGCTGTATTTTGAGAAACATGCGATCCGGCCGGAAATGTGAAATGGAATTGTCCAATGGAAATGTGAGAGGATTTTTTAAATATAGAAAAACAACATTTTATGTTCTAAGTCCACAACAATGCTTATACCACATCAGAGGACAATTTTTTTGGTCTGAAATCTGAGAAAATTAGATTTTTTTTTGTGTAGTCACCCTTTAATTCAGGTGCGCGCCAGACAGTTGTGTTTGGCTAGTGTGTTTCTATAGTGCAAATGGACACTGGATTGATGCAAATAATCATTCTGCCAGGTAGGCATACGCTACTTTGTAGTTACCTTTTAATTGCCTTTCCATCTACCCGAAAACGGTTAGGCCATTATTAACATTGCTAATGGCTACACAAAGTGGTAGACTACCTTCACTGCACACAGCAGGGCACGACATTCAGGTGAATTTGCCAGTGGCACACCGGACCAGTGGGCCTTGAAATACATCCACAGGTACACCTCCAATTGACTCAAATTATGTCAATTAGCGTATCAGAAGCTTCTAAAGCCATGAATTTCTGGAATTTTCCAAGTTGTTTAAAAGGCACAGTCAACTTAGTGTATGTAAACTTCTGACCCACTGGAATTGTGATACAGTGAAATATAAGTGAAATAATCTGTCTGTAAACAATTATTGGAAAAATTACTTGCCAAAATTATAGTTTGTTAACAATACATTTGTGGAGTGGTTGAAAAACAAGTTTTAATGACTCCAACCTAAGTGTATGTAAACTTCCGACTTCAACTGTAGTTCCCGGATGTCGTACTACATTCGGCCATAATGCAATTCTCCAGAAAATAGGCGTGGCTTCACAACATTTTCAAATGGCGGAATATGCAGTCAAAGTCCGAGAGCAGATACAAATTCATTGCTTTAACTAATTACGACAAATGTTAAGAAAAACAAAAGTTATGACTTTTCAAAGAAGTTACGTTACATGTTATGTTGCCGTTCTCAATGGACATTGTTAATGAAGTCGTAAGATGTCTAGCTAGTAATTTGTTATGCTAACAAGCTAGCAAGAAGTTGCATTGCAACAGCATCAAATTCCAGTAGACAGGCGAAGCACTAGTACACTCAACTGAAAGGATGCCGTTCGTTTACAGTATACTAAAATGAACTAATAGTATATAGTATGTAGTATATACTTATTAAGTATTTAGTATACAGTATGTTAGTATGGGTATTTAAACACAGCTATAGTTTGGTTAGCTAAACTAGCAAGTCTGTTTGTTTATCACAGCAACTACTGTAGCTATCTACTAAACTAGCTACCTACTTCCGCAGATGTTGAACACATTTCTACCGGCAAATTAACAAATTTCTAGCGCAAAATGTGTTAAATTATAGCCATGGTATAAAAGGGCCTTCCACGTCGTTCATTATTTTCCAGAGAACGCAAAGCCTCTCGTTGATTATCCCTTACATAATTGGCCTCAACAGGCCCAACATTGGGTTTTACTACATTGTAATGGAATGTCCGGGGCAGGTTAGTCCTCATAAACAGCTACTAGCACCGGGTTCCCCAATTGGCGGCCGGCGATGATTTTATTTGGCCCCCCAAGTTCTCTGAGCAAAAATAATATTTTGTTACGTTACAGCCTTTTTCTAAAAGTGATGAAATACCCCATAATGAAATAGTGAAAAGAGATTTTTAGAAATGTTTGCAGATAAAAAACAGAAATACCTTATTTACATAAGTATTCAGACCCTTTGCTATGAGACTCGAAATTGAGCTCAGGTGCATCCTGTTTCCATTGATCATCCTTGAGATGTTTCTACAACTTGATTGGAGAACACCTGTGATAAATTCAATTGATTGGACATGATTTGGAAAGGCATACACCTGTCTATATAAGGTCCCTCAGTTGACAGTGCATGTCATAGCAAAAACCAAGCCATGAGGTTGAAGGAATTGTCCGTTGAGCTCCGAGACAGGATTGTGTCGAGGCACAGATCTGGGGAAGGGTAACAAAAAAAAATCTGCCGCATTGAAGGTCCCGAAGAACACAGTGGCCTCCAACATTCTTAAATGGAAGAAGTTTGGAACCACCAAGACTCTAGAGCTGGCCACCTGGCCAAACTGAGCAATCGGGGGAGAAGGGCCTGGTCAGGGAGGTGACCAAGAACCCGATGGTCACTTGAGAGGATCTGCAGAGAAGAATGGGAGAAACTCCCCAAATACAGGTGTGCCAAGTTTGTAGCGTTATACCCAAGAAGACTCGAGGCTGTAATCGCTGCCAAAGGTGCTTCAACAAAGTACTGAGTAAAGGGTCTGAATACTTATATAAAAGTGATATTTCCGTTTTATTTTATAAATTATAAAAAAGTCAAGGGGTCTGAATATTTTCAGAATGACTGTATGCATTTTACATCTTTCAAGATGAAACATTGCTATCATTGATCATAACGTCTTAAGAAATCAGCGATTCAGACAGCTTTTTGGGCACATTCTTACCACAATTCTGTGAATAATTGAACATCTTAAGATACTGTATCTGGCACACCTGGCTCATGTGGTTGTATATTCTACATCACTCTGAACATTTGCATACTACAATTATATTTCATACAGGTATGGTCATGCGAAATGTGGGGTTAATGCATGAATTCTGTAATGGCCCCGTATCTACCAATCTTTTTAAACCCCTGTCCTTGCTGTGTTTGTGCAATTTGGTGCCTCGATAACCAAAGTAACAATCCAAAAACATAGCTGCCCCATTACATGGAATTGTAGAGTGTCAACACACAGAAAGCTACCATTGCTGCACTGCTATCACACATTTTCCAACTCTAGGGACATAGACCTTCAAAAAAATCACTATGAGACATCGTCGGCCCAAGTGAGCCCAACCGACCCCCACCGGCTCATGGTTACCTAGGGTTCTTGAGAGATAAGGCGCTCTATCATAGAGCACTTGCTATAATTAGTATTATTGAGCAGAATGAATCACCAACTCAGTCACTAGTACTACCTATGCTTATTATGGAGCCGTCCAGGAAGTCAGCCATCAGGTCTTACAAATCTCAAGTTTAATTGCACAAGATGCTGCCAAGTTGGGACACCCAGTAGTAGGCCATTGTTGGACTTACCACAGCGGTGTCAGTAACTTTAGCAAGTACAATGCCTTCAGAAAGTATTTACACCTCTTTACTTTTACCACATTTTATTGTGTTACAGCCTGAATAAAAAATGTATTAAATTGTGATTTTGTGTCACTGATATACACACACAATACCCCATAATGTCAGTGGAATTTTACTTCAGAAATGTATAAAAAAAGCTGAAATGCCTAGAGTCAATAAGCATTGACTCTGTTATGGCAAGCCTAAATAAGTTCAGGAGTAAAAATGTGCTTAACAAATCACATAAGTTGCATGGACTCATTCCCTGTTCAATAATAGTAGTTAACATGGTTTTTTAATAACTACCCCATCTCTGTACCCAACACATACAATTATCTGTAAGGTACCCCAAATCTAGTAGTGAATTTCAAGTACAGATCCAACCACAAAGACCCCAGAGCTTTTTCAAAGCCTCGCAAAAAATGGCACCGATTGGTAGATGTGTAAAAATAACAAAAGCAGACGTGAATATCCATTTGAGCATGGTGAAGTTATTAATTAGGCTTTGGATGGTGTATCAATACACTCAGTCAGTACAAAGATACATGCGTCCTTCCTAACTCAGTTGCCGGAGAGGAAGGAAACTGCTCAGGGATTTCACCATGAGGCCAATGGTGATTTTAAAACATTTATATGGTTGTGATATGAGAAAACTGAGGATGGATCAACAACATTGTAGTTAGTCCACAATACTAACCTAATTGACAGTGTGAAAATAAGAGCCTGCGTACAATAATAAAATATTTCAAAACATGTATCCTGTTTGCAACAAGGCAAAGAAAAATGAACTTTTTGTCCTGAATACAAAGTGTTATGTTTGGGGCAAATACAACACATCGCTGAGTACCACTCTTCATATTTTCAAGCATGGTGATGGCTGCATCATGTTATGGGTATGCTTGTCATCGGCAAGGACTAGGGAGTTTTGGGGGATTAAAAGTAACGGAATACAGCTCTAAGCACAGGCAAAATCCCAGAGGAAAACCTGGTTCAGTCTGCTTTCCAACAAACACCGGAAGACAAATTCACCTTTCAGTAGGACAATAACCTAAAACACAAGGCCGAATCTACACTGGAGTTTCATACAAAGATGACATTCGTGGTCCTCTGTAGCTCAGCTGGTAGAGCACGGCGCTTGTAACGCCAAGGTAGTGGGTTCGATCCCCGGGACCACCCATACACAAATGTATGCACGCATGACTGTAAGTCGCTTTGGCTAAAAGCGTCTGCTAAATGGCATATTATTATTATTATTATTATTATTATTTAATGTTCCTGAGTGGCCAGTTACAGTTTTGACTTAAATTGGCTTGAAAATCTATGGCAAGACTTAAATGTCTGTCTAATTATAATCAACAATCAACTTGACAGAGTTTGAAGAATTAAAAAAAGAATAATGGGCAAATATTGTACAATCCAGGTGTGCAAAGCTCTTAGAGACTTACCCCAAAAGACTCACAGCTGTAATCACCACCAAAGGTGCTTATTCTACATAGTATTAACTCAGGGGTGTGAATACGTATGTAAATTAGATATTTCTGTATTTTATTTTCAATAAATTAGCAACAATTTCTATAAACATGTTTTCACTTTGTCATTGTGGGGTTTTGTGTGTAGATGGGTGAAACAATTAATATTGAATCCATTTTGAATTCAGGATGTAACAACAAAATGTGGAACAAGCAATGGGTGCTAAATTACAAAATGTAAATGTAGTGTATGAATACTTTCAGAAGTTAGCTACTGTAGCTCTGTCCTGGGTACATGTTCTGATTGGACACTGGACAGAGACCAACACGAAGCTAACGTTAGCTAACATAACCAGAGGCACAGTCCCATGTCCCAATTTTGAAGCAATGCGGGCAGTACGTAAAGGTTTGGAAACGTAACTCTAGAGAGCGAATAGCGCGACCTACTAACCTAAACCTGAATAATGTAGCCCGAGGTTGATCAGACATGTTTCAGGTTCTCTGTCTACATGGAATATGACAATCTAACTGGTGACGTTATCTAATGACGTGGCTAACAGCCAGCTAGCTAGCTAGCTAGCTCAGTCTTGTGCAACAAAGACGTTAGCTGTTATGATTGATAACACACCGCATATGACAAAAAAAAAAGTTAGTCAGCTACATTTGCCAGGTAGTTAGGTTAGCTTTGTCTTACAGAGCAGCCATCGAGTGGGTTAGCTAGCTGTTAGCATGCCGGTTAGCTAACTAGTTAGCTAGATTTCTAGGCCAAAAAGCAAGACATCTTACCAATACTTTGATCAACGTACATAACTTACGCTGTCTGAACCCACTTTGGGTTGCTGTGTAATCCATGTCCATCAATTATTACAGGTAGTTTCGGATATCGTCTATAAAAACGCTGATTTGAAACCATTCAATATGCTTCCTACAAAATTAGAACACAGCCACACCCATGTGTCAACTGGCCAATGATAGTATCCTAAAAAAAGAAAAAGATGAAGGCGTTCCAGGAAAAATATAGACCAATCGAAATAATCTTCTTCTTCAATGAGGTTTTAATATATTTATTCCTACCTCATGCCCTCAACCTGAAATGATGGGACATCACCACTTAACACTCCCTGTAACTCTTCTGATGTCAAGTCTCAAGCACACCCAAATACCTCTCTGCAGCTGCCACCACAACCTCAATTTTCTTCGACTTACGTTCCATCCCTGCAGTACAATTAATAACCATTGGTATAAATGCTAAAAATCCAATCTTACTGAAACATATATCACTTGTTGTCCTATCCCTCTGTACCGGTACATATCTACTACTCTCACCACTACCCCCCCCCCCCCCCCCCCCCCCCCCACCCCTCTTCCTCTACTTTCTTCACTGCCTCAGCATATGACAACTTCTTCACTACTCTTACCCTGGAAACCTCAACCTGCTTCTCTCGCACAGGACATTTCTGATTCCCAGCCCCATGGCCACCCCTACAATTAGCACATACCATCACTTTCCCCAATGCTACACATTCCTTTGTCTCATGCCCTTCTGCACACTTCTCACACCTTGGAACCTCCCTCCTACATACTGCTGCCACATGCCCATAAGTTTGACACCTGTAACATTGTAATGTATTCGGCACATAAGCTCGTACAGGATAACTTATATATCCTAACTTCACTTTGTCAGGCAAAGACTCAACTTCAAAACTCAAAAGAACAGACAATGACTCTTCTGTTTCCCCACTCTCGCCATCCTGTATGCGTCGCACCAAACGACGAGCATCACAAACATCGAGAATCTTCCCCTTCAGTTGGTCAACTTTTACATTTACTGCTACCCCAGTAATCACTCCTGTCAATGGCGCCATTTTCTTGAGAGCAAAACCATTCACAATTCTTTCCCCCATTTGTTTAACTCTGAGTGCCTTCTCCCTCTGACCAACAGAAACACAAACAATTATCACTAGACCACTTCTGGTTACCCTCACCGATTCCACTATACCCAACGCTTTTTTCACCCATCTTGAAACCACAAATGGATCAGCCAAAAGGCAAGGGTCCACTTTTTCCAAAAACTTCACTCCTACTGTCACAGACTCATCTTTATCCTGACCCTCTGTGCAAGCCTCTGGCTCCGAGTACTTCACCACACCTACCACCTCCGTTACTTCACCCTCATTCACTTCCATTTGTCCTCCTGTCTTCAGCTCACTTTGCTTACATTTCCTACCATTCTTCTTTAACAAACCTTCTCCCTTTTTCCCACCATTTTTTCCCAACTCAAGCTCACAATCTTCCTCCCTCTCTCTCCTAGACCTCCTCTGCCTATCTTTTTCCTTCCATTCCTCCTGTCATCCAAGTATATGTCTCCTTATCCCACAGCTGTCTGTTAGACATCGTTTTTCCTCCACAGGACTACGGATACTCCGGACCTCCTTTCCTTGAGTCACCTCATTTTCCCTTGCTAATTCGTTGACCGTGGCACGTGTATAACTACAACCAGTTAATCGAAATAATCCACTATGATTCATTTATTTCTGCAGGGGCAGTAACGTCATAAAATCTTTTTCGTGTGTTAGTTACAGTACATAAGAGTATTTCTTCTTAAGTACTTCACACCACTGATTTTCACCTACATTTTTGACTCATTGCATCTCTTGCACAGTAATGTGTACCTGTATTGCACCCTTAGCACGGATATTTAGATTCCATCAGGTTCTGATATAGAGTGGGAAAGTGAATCGGTTTCTCCTGAGGAATGGTGTTCTAGTCTCTTGCCGCGTTCATATGCCATCCGAGTAATTGGAAGCTCCTAGTTCCAAGTGGGAAATTTCACTTGAACGACCCTCCAAATAGGAATTACAAGCAGTGGTGGAAAAAGTACCCAATTGTCATACTTGAGTAAAAGTAAAGATACCTTAATAGAAAATTACTCAAGTAAAAGTGAAAGACACCCAGTAAAATACTACTTGAGTAAAAGTCTAAAAGTATTTGGTTTTAAATATACTTAAGTATCAAAAGTAAATGTAATTGCTAAAAATATACTTAAGGGAGTGAACGTTATTCATAATAATAATAATAAATATATTTTACCTAAACCCTCCCTGAATACTTGAAAAGAACCAAGTGACCCTCCCCTATACTCAAAATAATGTGGATAGCAGAGAACATGTCTACCATTTACCATCACTTCTTGGACAGACCAGAGCCTTAGATATGACGTTTTAGAAACTGTTCTTTGTCCTGTAAGCATTACATGGCAATTTTAATAGTGCACAGGGCTGTGGGCCAAACGGTTGTGGGTTTGCAGACCACCATGGACAATAGTAGGGGTGGAAAGATCTCCTATATAGTAAAAGCAAAAATAGTCATGCAATTCTGCGTAATTTTACATATTAGCTGAATATTTTTAAAATACCATACACGTTACCGAAATTACAGGCTAAGAATGGACAGAGTGATAGGCGTTGATGTGTTGATTTTATCATATTTCTCCAATGCCAAATCAGTGTGTCTTGTTTGGAACAAAACTGTCCCTGTTTGCAAACAATACAATCTGAGACATCATTAGGAATCTCAGCATGGTACTGTACTTTCAAAAGTTAGGCCTACCATTCCACCCCAGACAGAGAAGGCCTACCAACGTAGAAAAATGTAAGCTTTAACTGCGGCCTACTCTTCTTCCGTGGCTTAACCCAATGAGAGAAGGTCACAAGTGTTTCCCTACAAGCTGTCTGGGTTTAAACATCTTCTATTGTACTGAAAGTGAATAGCTTACTCAATTGATAGTGACAGAATTTGATTATTTCCCAAGCAAAGTCAATTTCTTGTCTCCTCGGCTTCAGAAGGTTGTAGCTCAGCCTCTGAATATCCAAGAAACTAAACAATGATATCCCCATATGCATAGGATTCCTGTCTTTCAGGGGTATTTTACGTCTTGTTTCTAGCATAAAGCATCACGGACCAAAGCGCCATTATAGATCAATTTATATAATCATATTATTTTCTTCACAATCTTAAGCTAACAAGGGCTAGTCCTGTGCTTTTTGCGATTTTCTTTAATAAAAAGTAGGCCTATGGCATACCCTCTCAATTTTAGTCTTGGTTTTAATTTAACAGCTCTTCAATAACACTGTGGTAGGCTATTTAAAGAGTGCATGGTGGGTGGCGGAATTGACCGAGAAATCTATGGATATAGTAGCCTATAGCCTAATTTTGTCTGTCAAACAGGTAGGCCTACCTCTTAACACAAAGCCCTCTTCTTGTTAGTCAAATCTAATTAAAATGAAGACGGGCCTCCTGAGTGGTGCAACGGTCCAAGGCACGGAATTGCAGTGCTAGAGGCGTCACTACAGACCCGGGTTCGATCCCGGGCTGTATCACAACAGGCCATGATCGGGAGTCCCATAGGGCGGCGCACAATTGGCCCAGCATCGTCAGGGTTAGGGGAGGGTTTGGCCGGGGGGGCTTTACTTGGGTCATCGCGCTCTAGCGACTCCTAGTGGCGGGCCGGGCGCCTGCAGGCTGACCTCGGTTGTCTGCAGGCTGACCTCGGTCGTCAGTTGTTTCCTCCGACACATTGGTGCGGTTGGCTTCCGGGTTAAGTGGGCGGGTGTTAAGAAGCACGGTTTGGCGGGCCATGTTTCGGAGGAAGCATTACTCGACCTTCGACCTCCCGAGCCCGTTGGGGAGTTGCAGCGATGAGACAAGATCAAAATTGGGGAGAAAAATAAACATCGAGAATTTTCCCCCCCTTTTCCGGTTGGGTAAAAATTTTTAAATTTATTGCCCTCCCCCCAAAGGTAAAAAACCTCCTTTCATGGCGCCATTTTCTTGAGAGCAAACCATAAACAAATTTTTCCCCCCAATTTTTTTAAACTCTGAGTGCCCTTCCCTTCCCTGGAAAACCAACAGAAACACAAACAATTATCACAAAAACCCTTTTGGGTTTCCCCTCAACATTCCCTTCCCCCAACGCTTTTTTTCCCCAAACCTTAAAAACCAAAAACACAGAAAACAGAAAAAAAGGAAAGGGTCCATTTTCCCCCAAAAAGGGAAAATTCCGGGCCTACTGTCACAAATAAATCTTTATCCGACCCTTGTAAAAGCCCCCGGGCCCTCCGAGTATTTAAACCAAAAACCTACCACCTCCTTTAAAATTTTTCCCCCTCATTCATTTTTTTCCATTTGTCCCCTTCTTAAATCCACTTTGTTAAAATTTCCTACCATTCTTTTTAAAAAACCCTTTGCCGTTTTTCCCCCTTTTTTTCCCCAAAAACCCCAAGCTCACAATTTTTTCCTCCCCCTTCCTAAACCTCCTCTGCCTTTTTTTTTCCTTCCCTTTCCCCCCTGTCATCCAAGTATATTTTCCCCTTTACCCCACAGCTTGGGTTAGAAAATTTTTTTCCTCCACGGGGACAAAGGATACCCCGGGGACCCCTTTTTTCCCGAGTCCCCCCCTTTTTTTCCCCTTGCAATTTCCCTTTTGTAACCGGGTGGACGTGTATAACTAAAAAACCAGTTAATCGAAATAACCCAAATAGTTTCCCTTTTATTTCTGGGGGGGGGCTAAAAGGGCTTTTAAAATTTTTTTCGTGTTTTAGTTTACAGTACTAAGATATTTCTTTTTAAAGTACTTCACACCACTGTTTTTCCACCTACTTTTTTGGGACTCATTCCCAAAATTTCTTTTTGAAAACGAAAATGTGTACCGGGTATTGCACCCTTGCAGGGGAATTTAGATTCCTCGGGTTTTCGATTTTAGAGTGGGAAAAAAAAATCGGTTTTTCCCTTGGGGAAATTTGTTTTTTTCTAGTCCCCTTCCCCGGGGTTTTTGCCACCCCCAGAATTGGAAGTTTTCCTAGTTCCAAGGGGAAAATTTCACTTGAACGACCCTCCAAATAGGTTACAACAGGGGTTGGAAAAAATACCCAATTGTCCCTTGGGGAAAAAGAAAGATCCCAAAAATGGGAAAA